TAAAAACTATTGGCTTGATATAAATATCTGAGAGTTTTGACAGCTTTTGGTCACGAATATCACATCTTTTCTGTTTGTGGATTTGTTCTTGGAAAGGTAACCCCAAACCATCCTGATGTGGTATTTCACATTTTTGAGAAGTCTGACATCCTTGATTTTTTAATGCCTTGACGTGATTAATGTATGATGTAGTAAATTTGTTAAAAAACTATTAGCAAGATGTAATTATATGTCATTAGATATACTATTATTTCAGTTTCATATGTCTTGTTTTGACAAATTGATATTTAAGTGACTCAGGTCCTAATTTATATATGTTGAGGTTTATTAAATAATTATTTTGTCGAATGATGAACAAGTGGTAGTTACCTGTTTAAACCACAATTCTGTTTTATGTGTCTTCTCTTATATGACAAGCAACATAGAAACATTTTTTTATTACTTGCATTGCAAAGTTTTACTGCAGTTTTATGACAGGAGTATTAACTATGGGGTCATTCAGAGGAGTGCTCCAATGGTAACTGTTTCTTATTAGGGCTGTAACGATTCACTCGCATATTCGGTGAATCGAACCGTAGCACTTCATGAATGCAATTCGTTATTGGTGGTCAGCAGAACCAAATATTAACGAATATTTACGATTTTGTTAAGGGAGCATGTTTTACTTGAACCCTTATGTCCTTTCCAAAGTGAGATATGCAAGAATGGAACATGTACTAGCAAGTAGTGCAAGTCATGTTAGTTTGCCAAGACTGCACATGGTACTGTCGACTATAACTATTACATACCAAATTTGATTGTCATGAGATCACTGGTTATTGCTGTGACAAATCAAAACTGTCAACATGGACGTTCCATAAAGTGCATCAATCACTTAACTACAATATTATATTCGTGAATAATCATTCGTATTCGTTACCCAAAATTCATGATACGTATCATATTCACCACATAGTGTATTCATTGCAGCCCTATTTCTTATCACTACCTGGATGTTGAATATCGATATGATTTGCTCTTGCTTTTCATGTTCAGTTTTGAACATAGGGGATTTTACTCTCTCCTTCAGTAGGCAACATTCCCGTCATCCCTTGACAGACACACCTGAAACAGCCTTGTCAATACTACTGTTTGGTTTGCTCAACCGACACTAATTTAATAAACTAGCAGTGAGACAACTACCCTTTATTATTTCCATGTGTGAAGTGCATAACCGCTATATCACACAGCTGAGATATAACCTGCAACAGTCTTACATGGTATTTCTTAGGCAAATTGGGTATCAATTCTGAGCCTCTCTAACATTTGATTTCCACATGTCACATCCACTTGAGGTAGAAGTTGCATCTTGCTTGTGCTAAATTTTTCAGCTGAACAAAATATTTATTTGGAACATTCTAACACTGCATTTCTAGATGCTTTGTTTGTTTCCATGACAACCATATGACCTGCTGTGTGGAAGTAGGTGATTATGAGGCTACTTTAGGACAATATTACTCCAAAATAGTGCCATGTGTGTGGCACATGGTGACATTCTAAGTGTGTGTTGACTGTCTAACACATTCAAATCAGAGGCACGTTTTTTAGATGGACAGAGGTCAAGGGGCTTGTTGTCAGAACTATTGTGCCAGGATTTAATGTTTACCAGTGGAATGTTAAGAACCAGTTTTGGAGCATGGCTTCTTGCCTTCAATTATACTGTGTTGAAGTCCTTTGTTACATGGAGAGAAATACCATATGCCAACTGGAATGTTAGACTTACAAGTACACCTTTGCATTTTAGCTGCCTATGGACAAGTTAGAAATTCTGTAGAAATCAAATTGAAATTTTTGCTATCTGGAATTCAGTGATGGCAAATGTGCATGGATTGGCCCAGAGAGAGAGAGAGAGAGATGTACAATGTGAATGCCACCCCCCACCCACCCCCATATTATGTACAAAGTAAGTGGCCCCTGCATGTCATGTACAAAATCAATGACCCCCCTCCCCTCATAATTTTTAAACATAATTTTTAAATTTTTGTATGTACAAAATTACTGACCCCCGTAACTCCCCAGGACAAAATGGGTGACCCCCTTTAAATCATCACTACACCCCCTATCCATTAATTATGAATGGTCCCTTATTTTGTCCAATTTCCACATACTTAGTCAAGTCAAATTCTGGTCACTCTAACAAGCTTAGCACTGATAGTCCATAGTTGCTAGTAGACTTGGGTTTCCTTGTGATGGATTTACAGATGTTTTGTGCCAGATTGCAGAGACTGTTTAACAGGATGTAGGCTGGTCATATATGGACATGTGAGAATTTATGAAGGGGTGGGGTTGTGGATTCATATGTTATATATCAGTATGTGGCATTGTTTACGGAATAATTTATGTTCAGATGTTTTAAGATATGTATGTCAAGGAAACCCTTCCCACACACTTCTTGTCCTAGTCCTGTTGTAACCTGTAACAGGACTATGTACTTATTCTTGGTTAGAATGTCCTGGCTGTTGTAACAGGACTATGTGCTTATTCTTGGTTAGAATGTCCTGGCTGTTGTAACAGGACTATGTGCTTATTGTTGGTTAGAATGTCCTGGCTGTTGTAACAGGACTATGTGCTTATTGTTGGTTAGAATGTCCTGGCTGTTGTAACAGGACTGTGCTTATTCTTGGTTAGAATGTCCTGGCTGTTGTAACAGGACTATGTGCTTATTGTTGGTTAGAATGTCCTGGCTGTTGTAACAGGACTGTGCTTATTGTTGGTTAGAATGTCCTGGCAACCTATGCTTGGCCTAAGAGGTGACTGAATGGATAGGAGGGTCAGGCTCAGTGGCATGGCTATTGTGTGTCATTTTACCTCAGTTGTGTTCATCGTTGCTTACAGTATCAACCGTTTGACTGTCTGGTCAAGACTTGATTACTTCGAGGTCACTTTCAAATGGATTCCCCAAGTACTAAGTAGTTTACAAATCCCACTCTTAATGTCCCCTATAATCATAATGCTGAGATACAGCTGAAAATAGTGTGAAAAACTCATCCTATTAGGAAAAATATTGTCTCTTTGTTGGTAAATTGCATATATGATAGAGGAATTGAAGTTTCATGTTGCTTGATAGACATAGATCCAGTCAGTGTTTGCCTTTAACCCTGAAATGTCGCAGGCCCTAAGGACCCAGAACCATTAAACGTTGTGGGTTCTGATAGGAATGTGTAGGCCCTACATTTTAATGTGGAAACAATACTCTTACTTTTTGGGGATAAAAAAGCTGTCGGCCATAAGGAGCTGCAGAAAACAAAAGCTGTGGGTCCGAGCTGTTTTCAGTCGGCTTGGGGCCTATGGACATTAATTTCGAATGCTGGATCCAGTTTGTTCTGCACCTGTCTATGTATATGCAGGAATTATTAACTCATTACATATCTTAACCTCTTCACCTGGATATGGGATGGTTTACAGTGGAAGGCGTAGACAGATACAGTGTACATGTTGGACTGTTTACAGAGTATATGATAACTAATGTGAGCATAAAACACATTTGTGAGGATGCCGAGGTAATGTTGAGATGAGGCTTTGGTCACAGCAAAGAGTAGTAATGATCCTGTGCTTAATGCCACATTGTGGGAGGAAAGCGTGAAGTGTCCAAGGAATGCAACTTTCCACAGCAAATTGTAGTGGGCTCCACACAGCCTAGAAAGTAAAATATTTTCTTGGTTAATCCAAGTATATTCTTCAAGATGATACTGAATGCATTTTGAATGTAAGTCTGTCATTTTTGGAAACATATTAATGCTTGAAACACACTCAGTGATGAATGTAAACAGGAACAGACCTGGTCAGAGGGTCAATGGGTCAATGAAGAACTAATGGATTATGATGAACTTTATGGAATTAAGGATGTATCTGGACCTGCCCTGGGGCCAGTAGTCAACCCTAAACCTGCATATAATGACAGTAGCAATTACCAAACTGCGTCCCGCTCCACAAAGCATTCGTAGCCTATGGTAAACTCTAGAGGTACGAGCCGCCGTATAGCTGGAATATTGCTGAGTGCTACGTAAAAGTAAACTCACTCACTCACTCATTCACTCTAGAGGTACGACAGAGTGGAACGTTATGAACGCTTTGTGGAGCGTTATGAACGCTTTGTGGAGCGGGACCCTGGAATCTAAGATTTCCCAATTCATGTTGTTATATCACTTCACCAAACGTTTTGGCTGTGGGAGCCATGCCAAGTTACCCTTATCAGAGGGATACATGAGTACATGAGCTAGACTACCAGTTGTCAGTCTTCCTTTTTGTGGATGCCTCGGTGGCTGGCTGGGTTAGATTGTGGACTTTGTGTGCTGGGGACCGTTTCACAAAGTGATCGTAGCGCTATGCCTGTCGTATGGGAGTTACAATGACCGCTCACTTTGTGAAATAAGCGCCCTTTTTTTGTTAGTGTGGGTTCAAATCCCTGATAGCAGTCAACCACAAAAAGCATTAAAATTTAAATTCACTAAAAAAGTGTAATCCCAGAGGTAACATTTGGATCATGTTGTTTAGTCATCACAAACATGGCTTATACAGGACTAGTGAAGAGGAAGTAACATTCATGTTTAGATTTACATTCAATGGATCATCAAAATACTGGTACCTATTGTCTGGGTGAGTTTGCTGGACGGAAAGTAATTTTTCAAAACTGTAATTGCATGCAAGGAACTTAAAAACCCCAAAGCTGATTATGCTGAACGTGCCCTTTACATTGTATGTGGTGACGGTCAGCTGTTAGTGTACAGAGAGACTTGGCGTAAATATGCTGATAGGTTGATAGGCAGAAGCATGCCAGTGGATAATGGAGGCATTCCATCAGGCTTAGCAGTCCACTGTAGGGTTGAGAGTAGACTGTTGCCACAGGACTAGTCATCCCTAAGCCGCTGTGAATCTGACCCTACCAGGAAGTACACAGTGGTTACATCAGCCTGACAGGGAAATATTTGGAAGATTTGTTGGCAGTGTGAAATTTTCTACAGCCATATTGCATTTATAAGTATGTCTTATGGCAGAAAGTCTTCCGTGTTCATTTTTTATTTTACATATGTGTGTAAATCAAGTTATGTGAAAGTTTTAGTCAATGCATGCTTGGAAGATGACTCGTGAGACGGACGGAAAAATATGTTGGTTTCAACTTCAGGTATGCAGTTTGTTAATCATATATAGAAAAGAACATGTTTTCGTTGAGGTCAGTTACACACTTAGTCTGTGACTTTAACAACTTTTCTGAAGCTTGAGTTTGGTGTGAAATTGTGTTTGGTAAAGTTAATTACTAGGGAAAGTCAATCTACTAACACTAAAGTGTACTGAAGAATAGTAGATTCAGATGATCTTGTACAGACTGCACATTGGAGACCATTATATGCTTATGTTGCAGGGATATGCTCATAATTCGGTTTTCTCACTCAGACCGCCACCTCCCACTCACTTGTACTTTAAACTGTTATAGGACACTAATTATGTCCTATTTGTTCAAGCAGTGCCAGATGTTCTATTTATGGGATGTTCTTTTGTTTCAGAAATAGAGAGTGACAAGCAAAAGCGGTATAGAAGGAGGTGAAGAAACAAGATGAGTGCAAAGAAAGTGTCCCTTCCATCCAATCACGTGGAACTCTATGTCAAATCAGGCTGGGATGGGCAGAGCTATGGTGCCTGTCCATTTTGCCAACGTTTCTACATGATCCTTGACCTTAAAGCTCAAGAAGGGACCTTGACCTTCAAGGTCATCACTGTGAACCCAGCACGACCAACTGCTGATGTTAAAAGCTATGCTCACAAGCTCCCTGTCCTCAAACATGGAGATGAAGTGATCATGGATTCAGATGAAATGGTCCAGTACATCGACGACAACTTCCCCTACCCAGATTTGCGCTACACAAACAGAAAGGCCCATACTGTCTGCCTGGACGTTTTCTCCAAGTTCAACTTCTTCATCAAGAATGTCAGCCACACTTCGGGAACCTCTTCTTAAGGAGCTTCACCAAATCGACAGTTTCATGAAGACCGCAGGTACTAACTTTTTGTGTGGCGATGAACTTACTCATTTGGATTGCCTGATGCTGCCTAAGCTCCACCATGCACGAGTGGCATCAGAAGCCTTCAAAGATTTCGAAATCCCATCGAATATGACAGGATTGTTGCATTTGCTGAGGAGTGCGTACTCCAACGAAACGTTCCGCAAGACGTGCCCCTCCGATCAGGAAATCGTGCATCATTGGAGTACCAAAAGGGGAAACAACTCCTCTTCCTAAGTCTAAGCAGCGATTCTACATGTTAGAAGGAACCCCCGTATACTCTATGGATGTCGGGCAGGCCAATGGGCAAGTGTTTTAGATAACTTTCACTGCTAACACTCTGGATGCCATGACTTGCCTGGGTCTTGGACTCAGAGCTCTGCTGCCGCTGGCCAGATTCCTGCATGTGACACAGCTTGACTGTTACTATGGTTACTAAGTATTATATTCCCAGCATGCAGTGGGTTTCCTGTGTTGTGATTTGAAGTTTTCAAACTCTTAGTCATAACCTTTGACCTCAATTGAAGTCATAATATCAGTTATGTAATTTCTGTGAATCTGTGTAACAAGCTCATTTTTCATAGAATCAAAATTGACCACTGTAATGCATCCTTGCTTTGCGTTTTGTCTTTGCATGTGTAGGAGATATGTGTGTAGTAGCAGGCTGTCACGTCGTCATGACGTACGTTATAGACAGATCTTTGACAGAAACAGATTGAATTCTGTACTTTTTCCTCCTGTATAGTGGAGTTAATAGGGTAGCAATACCAGCATGAGTATGGATTTATCACTATGGAGTATCACTGATGTAATATTTGTGTCTACCCCTCGGTTGGGGTCAGTCTTGTGGTTGGAACCATGTCATTCTTTTAAACTCCTGTGACACTTAGATCTAGCTGTCTATTTCTGAAACTTTTTCTACACTTTCTGCAATCAGCACCGAAGCATGCTGGAATCGATGTACTTAAATACATGTTTGTAGCTAGATTCTTATCAGGTTTTACACCGTCTTTTATCAAATTTATCAGACATATGTAGACAGTAAACTATTGTAGTTGTCCAATATTTGCAGTTTCCTTAAACAAAGAGTTTTCAAATGAATTAATGTTTGTGTAAATAATGCAAGTTTAAGCAATGAGATTACAATGTTTATGTTTGTTGCATTTTTCAGGAATGGTTGTACAGTTCTGTAGTAGTCACATCCAGTCACACATTGCTAGACCCAGTCACAGAGTGTCAAATCATGTTCCTTGTGTTGTAGTTCTGTGTAACTCGTGGCACTGCAACAACCATTGATGTCATTGAAAAGCCCTTCCAACAGAGAGCTCGAAAAGTTTTGAATATTATGTAATGTGTTTGTATCATTTAAAATGTATGCACAACAATGGCAGGGAGATCAAACCAAACACTGTAAACATCATGATATGGGTGATGAAAGGAAGTCAGTAGTCTGCCATCATGATTAGAAGGACCATGATCAGAAATAAAAAATTCTAGTCTGAACAGTTCTACATAGTCCTTCGTAATTTTCTTTATTATTATAATAATTATTATTATTATATATTTTGTTCCACTTTCTTTTTTACAAGTCATTGGACATGAACACACATTGTCAAAATCTGATAAGGATAAATTGCACTTGTTATGTCTTATGCCTGAAATGGGCATGTTTCAATTTTGATGTCGGATGTTAGTCTTTAAGTGCCAAAGTTGCCAGTGTTGGTGCCATTGTTTTGTTTGTTTATCCAGTGTATGTAGTGATCCTGTATGTAGAGCTAGACAAGCAGTATTATCTGAGTACATAGTACTAGTGTAGTACCCTACCATGTTCTATATCACTTCACATTTTACGATATTGCAACATCACCAGCACATTAATGTGTCACATGATCACACTGACCAGTGGGGAGTAAGTCTCACAAGTTGATATATGTTCTTTGAGAGGTATTTTAGAAGTTGGATAGATGAAGGAAACCCAAGTTCTATGGATAGTCAAGTTCTTTATTGCAATGGGTGTTAGTACCTACACCGAAACGTCGCACCCATTGCAATAAAGAAGTTGACTATCCATAGAACTTGGGTTTCCTTCAAGTTGATAAATGGAATATCAGCATTGGCACTATAGTTAACCAGGGAATAAGAGGGACAAGGTAACATTGTCTCCTGGTGTATAACAGATATTATCCTTTTAAATAGTAAGTTGCTGTATTCAGAAGTCCAATAAGCGCTGACTACCTCCGGACCAATTCGTAAGTAATTTTTGTTAGTGCCCCTACCTTCAGTTGACACTTTACGTGAAAGTCTATCATGATTGGTCAGCTGGTAGAATTTGTTTAAATTTATAATGTCAAGATTAAAATTTGTGGATGTTAAAGCGTTGTGAAGTTTTAACAGATCTCAAGTCTTTGTGGTGAATATTTCATGGAACCATGCTGGTTGTGTATCGTGATCATTTCTCTATATCTTATCTGTGCGTTTTGCACTAATGATAAACCCCTGATATTGCCCACGTTGAATATATGAATATATGAATTCTGTCATGTCGACTGTAGGTTAGCATGAATCAAATATTAGATCTTCATTCAGATGTTCCCACAATGTGATTAAGGAAGCCTCTTATTTTCTATAATTTGGTATCTTAAACAAGCTACTTAAGGCAAGTTTGGACACTACCAGTACAAAGTTTGGTAACTGATGTTTGTGAGGTCGTTCATTGTACATGCGTGTCATCGACTGTGCGTTGTAAAGAGCCAATGCTGGTCATGTCCTCACATTAATGTGCTGTGTATACACTTGCACATTTTTACTGTGTGTCATTATTATCCTAGCATGGTGATCAACATTGTTTTGACTTAATCTTAAAGAAGTCCAGTTAAGTTTAAACCGTCCATGACTTTACCCAGAATCCTCTGTGCCTTTCCTTGTTGCCTCCAGTCCCAGATTGCCTACATTACTGTCAGATGTCATAATGATGTCTTGTTATTTTACTGAAATGTTTACAAGTATGAAGTCCCCATGTAAATATATTTTGTTCAGTTGTTATGATTTATTTTTCTGGAATTACATGTTGAAAGTAATTGGATCCATTTTTCAAACATATTAGAAATTTCAATAAGAAAGGAAACAAATTCCCATCGTAAAGGCTATTATTAGCTGTATCTGTTTGTGACATGAAAAGGAAATCTTATTCTGCAGCGAACTTGTTAAGAAGTAAGACCTTTAGTAGATTGATGTGAATATTTCTAAAGCAACTAATGTTATCTTCTAAGTCTTTTTTACTCATATCTCCAGTCAAGTGTCATTCTCGTTGGAATAGAGATAGTTAAATTGATTACCTATAGCATTTTGTAACTCTGTAAAGCAATAGGTGTTTGATGCTCCTTGCTTTATCTGCCTCTGTTCACCATATAATAAGATTGCCTACTTCTAACCTTCTGGAGAAACATGCAGTGTGTGTTTACCAATTTCCAAAGGTATAAAGGGTACCATAGACATTTCTCAAAAAGAAATCAACATCATATGTAATATTAGACATGTCCCAAAAGTACAAGTTTGGTTCCTATGAAAACAAAAAGGGTTGTGCTTCATTCTTATGTGTATTTAGGAACACAATACAACTAGTCCCAGGTAATGATCCAGAAATCACTGCAATATGGTACCTGTACATTTTAGACAAGAAAACCTAATACTCTACCTTGTGATGCCTTGTGATCAAGATTGTGTTAGTTATTGTTAGAACTTGAGATTCATGTAGTACTCTTAACTAAAACGCTGAGCGCATAGCTGTTTAAGGTGGCTTGATACTGGTCTGTAGTGGATTGTGGAATATTTATTTAGACAAGTTATTCAATGTCACTATTTCTAGTGTTAGCTAATTATTTCTTGGCTTTTTTATAACAAGGGGGAGTGGTTCTTTATCCTCTTATATAGAATGGTTTGGTAAAATACTCAGATTGTTTGATATTTATATTCCTGAAAATGGCATACTTCAGATAGAACAATTCTGCTTGCTGAAATCAAAGTCATTATTTTGAAGAATTCATTCGTGTCATCTGTACTGAAATGAAAATAACCTGATAATGTATACATGTATCAAATCAGGAAGTTGTTTAAATTCAATAGCAAATTGGAAAGTGAAATTAGGTGTGGAGTAGTTGTTAAGGAAATAGGTTCACAGTTTGTAGCCAAGGTGAATCCTGGACTGTGTGTCATGCTATCATGACATCATATTAGCAATATCGCAGCCAAATAGTGACGACACTGTAGGATGAGCTATTGTCCCAGCCATGTCATAACACTGGACCAAGTGCCCCACACGTGTAATAACATTGGTCAAAGTGCCCCAGATGGGTAGTAACACTGGACCAAGTGCCCCAGACATGTAATAACATTGGACAAAGTGCCCCAGATGTGTAATAACACTGGACCAAGTGCCCCAGACATGTAATAACATTGGACAAAGTGCCCCAGATGTGTAATAACACTGGACCAAGTGTCCCAGACATGTAATAACATTGGACAAACTGTTCCAGACATGTAATAACATTGGGCAAACTGTTCTAGTCATGGAATAACATTTGACAAACTGTTCCAGAGCTGTGCATATCTATGCCTACATTGCCAAGTCATGGGAAACCATGTTTGAAGCCTATTATTGGTGTGATACTGCTTGAATGATGCTGACAGCATGATAGTCAACTCACACACAGAATCACTCAGATAAAAGGTTTTTGAAAATGGAGGTACCCTGGTGAAATTTTGCCACATGCTTGACCAGCTATATGTGTGAATGATGGTAAATCATACATCTGTGTTATGTTCTTAACATGGACAGATGGTATTTCCCTAACAAACACTTACCTGTCATGTGAGAAGCCATCTGTTTTACTGGCAACCAACTTGGACTACTCTCAAGAAAGGGTTTATTTCCCTTTGTTATCGTTATGAAGTTTATGTCCCTTTTGTATGTCAAATATGAGTGATATAGCATGGATCATATTTATAGGGCTCCTGACAATGTCAAACGTGTGGAGGTCATTTAATATCTTCCTACCCTACCATCCAGCTCAATCGATGTTATGAATGTGCTATATAAAAGTCTTATTTACAATTTTGAAAGAAATTTAAAGCATCTATTTATCATGACTATTAATATCAAGCTGATAGTTTGATGTGGTTTTTATTCTACCAGAACAGAATATCAATAGCTCGACATCAGCGATAATGTTTTGGGTTGTTTTTGCAGATAAGTATGATGATAATAAATCATCACTACCTGTATAAACATATGTTTTCTGGGGTGCAAGCGTTCAGGTCATGTGGTCACTGTGAACAAAGATCTGTGTATGATTGTGGTTAATGCTTTGGTTGTGTAAGATGCTAGGTATTTTAGAACATTAGGTTGATACGAGTTGTTAACATGAAATATTGTTTCTATTTGATGAAATCTGGTCAGTTATTTATTTGTTTACTTTTATTTGTTGATATATATTTATGCATGTCATAAGCGTGTATGGCTGAACATGTGTTGGTCACAGGTAGTCAGATACAAAGTATATACACAAAACAGTTCATTCTCACATAGGCTACTAGATAATTGGTTCAGGTGTCTTTTTCTTTGCATTTTGAAATGTACTTACCACTTGTACATGTGATTTCCTGTCTTAGAACTGAAATCAAATGATCGATGAAAGGTATTGTAGAGTCAAGTGTACCTTTTGTAAAAACTTTGCATTTATAATGTTTCAGTTATTTTCACTGATGGTAGTTTAATAGTTTCAAAATGATTTACGGTTGATAATCATTATATAATTTTTTACAGATCAATATTTTGATTTTGCAAATGTATTTTGATGATTTAAAAAAATATTTTACCTGTATATCTTTGAGTTTACATAGTTTTACATATGATAATAGATGTAGGTGAGTGCTTTTTTTCTTTTAAGTTTTTATGGTAAACAGTTTCACTTTTTTTATTTTGTTGTGACATCTGTTATGTTTCTTTTATCATTCATTATTGTATGGTGTTTTGCAGTTTGCTGTGTGTGTCATAGGTTAAATCCACTAGCCAGATTTATGTGTTTGGTACTGCTAAAAGCTGTTGCATCCTAGTCAGATTGAGAGTGATATAGCCATTTACAGTTATATGTACCAAGACAGGAGAGGGAACATGCCATAATCAGGTCATATTAGATGGTTTCTACTGCTGCCAGATATGATACAAGAGGAAGTATGGCCCTATGCTGTAATGTTGCAGGCAAGTGAGCACCACATTACACACTGATACGGGAATTATCACACACCAGTTAACGCCTGTCCAGCTATCTCAGCACTTTGTCCATTGTAAGCTAATGTTAAATTATGAAATCTACAATCACTTCAGTGATAAGGTTGCTTAGTAGAATGAGGTCCTGCATTTGGCACAACTGAATACTAAGTAAGTTCAATTTGTTTGTTATGATTCGATCTTGGGGCTTGATAACTATGCTGATGTGTTAATATGGTACGTACATGTTAATGATTAGTTTAATTAGTAAATAGCTTTATTTAAATGCTAACGGGCATTTGTTTATGAAAAAGTGTGCTAACTATGTCATATGCTGTGGCTATGAGGTGTTCAGGTCAAAGTGGGATGTTATGAGGATTTATACCTCATTTAAGTTTTAAGCCTCACTGAATTGACTATCGATTTAGGTTCTGCTTTTACCAAAGGTTATCTTGACGGCTGTCCAGATGAAGATTCTTATCCAATTGAACTTAGTTTAAATCCAACTGGACAAACAGGCCTGGTTGTGCCTTTTAGTCAAAACCGTCCAAGTTTTCTTGGTGAAATTTGTTGAAGACGTTACGGATGCAGCTTTAAAAAGGGTCTATGTTCTTGTCAGAAGTAGGTGCTATATGCTTTAACAGAATCCTCTTGTCAAAACTCTTTATTGTTTTTTGTAAATAGTTCTTTTTTGATGAAACAGTTTGTTATTTTAGTTGTAAATTTGTTTTGATATTTGAACAAGTTGAATTTGTTAATTGTATGTACTTTGAAGGATTATTGATTTCAAATTTTAGATGTGCCAAAGATCTTAGCTGAGTTTCATGAAATCAATAGATGTCTTGTAATTCTGACTTTTAAAAATAATTCCATGAACATTTTGTTTTGATAAAATATGTTCGCAGACTTTTAGTATACCTTTAAGTCTTTAGTATTGTTTTGTAGTTATTCTCTTATTATATATTAGCTTGAAAAAAGGGGTTGTCATAGCAACATAACATAACATTTTGACCCTGATGACATTTCATTGAAATTTCTTTAATTACTTGTAATTATTGTCGTACATCCGACCTATTCTTGAGCCATCATGATCAAGTTTATTTGTAAGTTGTATTTTTGAGGAATCCCAGTTTTACTTTGATCTTATTTTTTTCCACACAGACCAAGTTTTTGTTTTACAGGTGGCATTGCATGTAATATCATTGCGATAATAAAACGTTAATAATACAGAGATGTTTCCCACACAACCTTTCCTGAATCTTTCTCTCTTTTGTGATGAGAGCTTAATGGGAGGAGAGAAAAAAATATATAAAAGATTGAATGTTTTTCCCTGTAATCTCAAATCATCTGACATACATTTTTATACTATTCTGTATGAGATGAATCCCTGAAAAGAAATAAACATGGTTGTCCTTAATGGAGATATTTAATCCTCGTAGCTGACTTATCTGTTTCCATAGTAACTCAGCTGTCCTTTATACTCACTTTCACTATATAGCCAGTGGCCCAGTGTACAACTGTAGTGGATTATAATAGGCATGTTTTAGGATAACTATTATTGTATAAAATGTGTAATTTGTACACATTGTTATCTGATGTTTTAATAAAAGTATCATAGCCTTTGACTATGTTGTTGTACTTTCAGGACTTCAATAGTTGTTTACCAGGATCACCATTGATGGTGTGCCTGCTTTCATATAAACCTTGTTACAAGCATAAAAAAGTTGTTATCCATAATATTTCTTTGTAATTGGTCTTCAGTAGCCCATGCTAGTCTTAAAAGGCGACTAATGGGATCGGGTGGTCAGGCTCGCTGACTTGGTTGACACACGTAATCATATCCCAATTGCGTAGATTGATGCTCATGCTGTTGATCACTGGATTGTCTGGTCCAGATTTGATTATTTACAGACCACTGCCATATAGCTGGAATATTGCTGAGTGAGGTGTTAAATAAGAAACCAATCAACTAACCACAACTTACTGTTCTTCCAAGTTGCCTGTCTTTCACAATTTGTGTTTGAAGCTGTCACCCAACCAGAGAGATGGTTGCAAACCTGATTGGTAATTTGTCTCCATGAGAACCTTGCATTCATACTGATTATGTGCCACCTATTCCCAGTGTTACCTTCTTCTGTTAACAGAAGGCCTTCCAAACATGCTTTTGTGAACAAACGAGTTGCATGAGCTACAGTTTACACATCAGAAGCACAAAGTTCAAATTCAAAATCATTCTCGGAGGCATGGACTTATTCTGGTGCTGAATTCCTCTTTTCCAGATTCATAGATTTTAAAAAATCACTTTCCTGAAATAAAACAAGATATTTACTCATCGTTGACTGTAAACAGGGCGTTCTGTTTCAGTGATGAAACTATATGCCATGCAGGTTTGGCTGCTCTGAACTGTTAAGCTCTATCTTTTTTACAGATTAATTTCCTATTCAGGTTGTCACCCATATTAGTCAGACTATAAATATGCATTACCATGCTTCATTACATAGGATTAACTTGTATTACACAGGAAATCGTGGCTTCTAATATAGGCAGTCTTTTGTAGGTGCATTATGTATACAACAGGGTGCATGTTGGAGGGAAGGGCAACACACAGTCGCTCACTGAGGAATATGCATCTGTTCAAGGCTGGGGGAGTAAGGGAGTGAATGAGTACTACTGTGGTCAATAAGATAACAGTTGTATGATAAGTCTTTTGGTTTGGTTTGTTGTTTAATGCTGCACTCAGCAATATTACAGCAATATGGCAACAGTTTGATAATATTATCGAGTTTGGACCAGACAATCCAGTGATCAACAGCATGAGCATCGAATCTATGTAATTGGGATATGATCACATGTGTCACCGAAGTCAGCAAGCCTGACCGCCAGATCCTGTTAGTCGCCTCTTAGGACAAGCATGGGTTGCTGAAGACCAACTGTGACCCGGGTCTTCACGGTATGATAAGGCAGAATCTGAATACTCCCGATCAGGCCATGCTGTGGTTGAGGATAGCATGAGCCACTAACAGCAATTACACACTGAGACACAGCAGTCAGCCAGTTGGAC